CATCTTATGAGCAAAAATTCTACTTGGTGAGCTACTGACATTAAAGTTGTGAGCAAGCGATTTGGCTACTGCATAAATCAGTTTGCTTTGGAGCCCTCCTTTCTGAGCGAAGACAAAAATGTGTGAGCCGGAGGCTAAAAAACTGTGAGCTAGCTCGCACTAACTCAGCTTAGAGGGAACACTGCTCGCAGGGTGTCTATTGTGGGGAGGGGGAGGGAAAGGAGTCTGTAAGCCGCTCTGAGACTCCGAGTGAAGGGTGGGGTAGAAATCCAATCTCTTCTCTTCCTCTTCTTCTCTACTGCCTGGTCCTTTTAGGTGGAGGTGCTGGGGATTGAACCTGGGTCCTTCTGCATGCAAAGCAGAGGCTCTGCCACTGAGCCACAGCTCCTGCCCATGCCTCTCCGGGGTCTCAAATAGAGGTCTTTCATATCAACTAATGGCTGGTCCTTTTAACTAGAGATGTTTGGGACTGAATCTATGACCTTCTGTGTGCGAACCAGATGCGCTGCCACTGACATGACAGAGGTTTATGAAATTATGCCTGGGATAGAGATGGTAGAGAAAAAAGTGCTTTTCTCCCTTTCTCACAATACAATAGAACTCGTGGGCACTCAACGAAATTTATGAGCGGTAGGCTTAGAACAGTTCAGAGGAAGTCCTTCTTCACCCAAAAGAGTCATTAACCCGTGGAATTCCCTGCCGCAGGAAGTAGTAGCGGCTACAAGCATAGACAGCTTCAAGAGGGGATCGGATAAATGTATGGAGCAGAGGTCCATCAATGGCTATGAGCCACAAGGTATAGATGGAACACTATGTCTGGGGTAAGTGATGCTCTGTCTTCTTGGTGCTTGGGGGGGCAATATTGGGAGGGCTTCTGGAGTTCTAGCCCCACTGGTGGACCTCCTGATGGCCCCTGGGTTTTGGCCACTGTGTGACTCAGAGTGCTGGACTGGGTGGGCCGCTGGCCCAATCCATCATGGCTTCTTTTAGGTTCTTATGAGCCTCGGCCCCTCCCCCTTCTCTGCCCAGGATCCACTGCTGAGCAGATCTTGATCAACCAACGG